AGGGGGAGAAAAAGAGAGGGAGATAAAGATAGAGAGAAAGAGAAAGAGAAAAGAGAGAAAGAGAGGGGGAGAGAAAGAGAGGGAGAAAAAGAGGGGGAGAGAAAGACAGAGCGAGAGAAAGAGAGAAAGAGAGGGAGAGAGGGAGAGAAAGAGTGGGGAGAGAAAGAGAGAGCAAGAGAAAGAGAAAGGGGAGAGAAAGCGAGCGAGCGAAAGAGAGAGAAAGAGAGGGGGTGAGAAAGATAGTGAGAAAGAGAAAGAGAAAAAGAGAGAAAGAGAGAAAGAGAGGGAGAGAGAAAGAGAGGGAGAGAAAGAGTGGGGAGAGAGAAAGAGAGGGAGAGAAAGATAGAAAGAGAAAAAGAGAGAAAGAGAGGGAGATAAAAAGAGAGTGAGAGAAAGATAGAAAGAGAAAAAGAGAAAAAGAGAGGGGGAAAGAAAGAGAGAGGGAGAGAAAGAGGGAGAGAGGGAGGGAGAGAAAGAGAGAGGGAGAAAGACAGGGAGAAAGAGAGAGAGAATTGCAAACATGGGTTTGTTCCCTCAAGCAGGCTCTTGAGGCAGAAAACCTCAACTCTCTAGTTATGGATGATATCTTATTTTAAATTGATTTTTTTAAGAGACTTATTTACTAACCCCCAGCCCAAGCGGCCTGGAAGAGAGAAATGAAATGCTATAATTATACAAGTGAGTGGGTTACTGACCTTCGGATTGCAATATCTTGTCTCCTTTGTCCTGCCTTTGTATGATCCTGACGGAAGGATGAAATTGCATCTCTTTTTCCACGGTTGTTGTTAAGAATGAGAAGGTATTGGAAGTTAGTGAGGCATGGCGCGCCCCAGCTCTTCATAGCTTGCAATAATTTACCTACAGTATTTTTCATTTTGCTGATTTTATTAACACCCGAATGTCTTGGGAGGAGATGGAGGGAGAGGCAGGTCGTAGTGCTGTCGACTGACAGGTCCCACCGGGGCTTCATTGCTATCAACCTCCTGCCCAGAATTATGTTTCCAAACTGGCAGAATAACAATAACAACAATAACAATATTATTATTAATATTATAACGATAATAACAACAATAACAAGTTCTACAAACGAATGCCATGAAAGCGAAAACACAAAAACCCGCCGACAATCCAAACTGCCGACTTTGCCACAACAAAGTGGAAACGGTTTCACATTTAATATGTGAATTTATGCAAAATCGCACAAAACTGATTACAAAACTAGGCACGACCGAGTTGCTAAATTAATCCACTGGTTCATTATGTAGGAAATACGACTTACCTGTATTCAAAAAATCACAGGAGAGCACAAAGTGGAAAAAAGTTATCGAAAATGGGAAGGTGAAGATTCTTGTGGGACTTTCGAATACAGACGGATCGTCATTTGGAATACAACAGACCAGATATCAAAGTTGTTGAGGGCCGAATTGTACAGTTTATTGATATCGCAGTACCAGGAGATGCCAGAGTCGGAGAAAAAGAACTAGAAAAAAAAATCACGAAATATCACGACACGGCCATCGAAACTACACATCTATGGTGATACCTATTGTCATTGGGGCACTTGGCACCGCCTACTGCCAATTACCTCCACTAGACCAATAAGATCCCACAGACTAGGCCTCCTCCGAATTCCATCCGCCGGCCAGTGTCGACTGGCGACTACCCGGAGGAGAGCCTTCTCTGTGGCTGCTCCGACCCTGTGGAACGAACTCCCCGTGGAGATTCGTACCCTCACCACCCTCCAGNTTTTTACATGCTTTCAGACTGCTAGGTTAGCAGAAGCTGGGACAAGTAACGGGAGGTTACTCGCTAGGGATTCAAACCGCCGAACTGCCGACCTTTCTGATCGACAAGCTCAGCATCTTAGCCACTGAGCCACCATGTCCATAATAAGATTATCGGGTGACAAAATCAATTTATGGAAGTGCGAAATCATGCTAGGATTCTCATTTTCTGATCTTTGGCTCAGTGTAAATCAAGAGCAACCCCCAGAAGCCCTAAAGGTATATATATTCTTAACAATGCACACATATAAGTTGCAGCGCAGGAAAACTTGGCAATGTTTTATCACGAGCGCTTCCCTGCCCATAAAAATGCATTTTCTCCTCGAGTGAACGCAGTGCAAATTTTCCTTAAAGAGGTGCTTTGCAAACAGGCTATTAAAATACTAAAAGAAAACATTGATTAGTTTTAAATAGCGGCTACAATTCAAACACCTTACAAAGACAAGCACATTTGTGCTTTAAGTTAAACCTTTGTAGTTAACAATCGAAGGGAAGATACAATGCAGGGATTTTTTTCGGGGGGGTGGGTGGGGGAAGCTCTGGGTAACACGTGGTTCTGCTCTCGGGGAGGGGGGGGGTATCATTGCTAAATGTTCCTTGCAGGCTTCACTAAAAATAACTCTGTGAATAAGTCGTGGATTTAACATAGCCACCAACCACCCAAAATTATTGTCTTCCCCCAAATGCCTTGGAATGGCCATCTCATAGAATGTCCTAGCTGGCCTTTATGAACCTGCCACAAGTAACCCATGCATCCATGAGCATTTAGTAGGTACTAGGCAGACCTAAGCTTCACAAAATCACGAAGCAAACTCCTTGTCTTGACAAAACCTCATTTTATTAAGCAAATGTGAATTCCTCTCATTCACATCCAGCAAAGTCCCGGAAAAACAGTCTTTCAAGGGTGAATTTATAACCACAGACCTTATCAAGCTTGGAGAGCTACTGTTTTCTCTTATTTTTTCTCTTTAAAACTACGATACGTTAAGTATATTGTTATGGAAGTATAAATACCATCAACATAGATTGGAGTTTGCTCAGAAGCGGAAATACACCAATGAGAGGAAACCAAAGGGAGACGAAAGACGGGAAGAGAGGGATAGGAGAGAGGGTAAGGGGGGAAGATGAGGAGGATAAGGAGGAGTGGAATGCAGAGAGAGGAGAAGG